TGCCTATATTAGAATCCTTCAAGAGAGGAGAGAAAAGGAAAGAGATTCAGGGGGAGGAGGCAGGAGCGGGGGAGGGAGAAATTTTTAAGAGGAGCGCAAGGGTAATGATTTCTCCGGTAAGAAAGGAAGAGGGGGGATTGGAAGAGATATTAAGGGAGGTAAGGGAGGGTTTTAAGGAAATGAGGAGAGAGTTGAGAGAAATGAGGGAAGATAGAGAAGAGATGAGAGAGGGGATGGAGGAAATGAGGAAAAGATTAGACGGATTGGAGAAAAGAGTGGAGGATATAGAAAAGGGTGGAGGGGGTGAAGGCGAGAAGGGAGGAAGGAAAAAGGTTGAAGAGGAGGGGATGGTGCAGGTAGGGATAAGGGGTGAGGGAGAGGTAAAAGGATTAGAAGAAAGAATGAAGAAGTTAGAGTTAGAAGGAGAAAGGAGGAAGAGGGAGGAGAGAAAGAGGAATGTAATTATTAAAGGGGTTAAAATAAAGGAGGTGGGGATGGAGGGGGTAAGAAAGGAGGTGGAGAAGATAGTGGGGGCAACGGGAGCAGTAGTGAAAGTAGAGGGAATAAGGAAGCTGGGGAATAAAGATAAGGAAGGGAGGGAAATGGTGTGGGTAAGGTTTGCGAGTGTCGGGGAGAAAATTGATGTGATGAAAGGGAAGGTGAAGCTGAGGGATAGGAAGGAGTGGATACTGGATGACTTGACGGAAAAAGAGAGGAGGGTGGAGTGGTGTCTAAAGAGGGAAGCAGAAAGGTATAGGAGGGAAGGTAAGGTAGTTAGGGTGGGATATATGAAAATGTGGATAGAAGGGAAATTATGGGTGTGGGATGAATTTAAAGATGAGTTAAGGGAATGGAAGGGAAGGGAGGTAGGAAAGGAGGGGAAGGAAAAGGGAGGAGGGAAAGGGGCAGACTTAGCGAAAGAGGTTTTTTAGAAGAAGGGGGGAGGCAAAGAGAGGGTGAGAAAGAAGTGAACAGGAGGATAAAATACGGGAAAAGAAGGGGGAATAGAAGAAAAGGAGATGGTAAAGAATACAAAATTGGTTACTGGAACGTGGCTGGTATGGAAAATAAGGAGGAGGGTTTTAGAGAGAAACTGAAGGAATGGGATGTGATGTTTTTGAGTGAGACATGGTTACAAAGGAAAGGTTGGGAGAGGGTGCAAAGATGGTTGCCGAAGGGATATGTTTGGGAAGTGCAGGAGGCGGGAAGGAAGAGTAAAAGAGGGAGAGCTATGGGGGGAATGATTGTAGGGATAAGGGAGGGAATAAGGAGAGAAAAGGAGAATAGGGTAGAGAGGGGAGAAGGAATTCAAATGGTTAAAGTAAGGTTAGGGGAAGAATGGTGGAGGTTAGTGGGAGTGTATGTTAATGGAGATTTAGAGGAGAAAACGAGGCGAGTAAGAGAGTGGACGGAGGAGAAAGAGGAAGGGGTGAGAGTGTTAATAGGGGGGGACTTTAATGCAAGAACTGGAAGGGAAGGTGGAGGGATGGAGGAGGAGGGAGAGGGTGGGGTATGGGAGAGAGTGAGGAAATCGAAGGACAAAAAGATGAATAGGGAAGGGAGGAGATTGTGTGATTATGTAAAGGAACTTGGATGGTCGATAATGAACGGATGCACAAAAGGGGATGAGGAGGGGGAATTGACATATACGGGAGGGAAGGGGGGGACCGTGATAGATTATGTGATAGGAAATGAGGAGACGAGAGGGAGAGTTAAAAAATTGAAGGTGGAGGATTGGGTGGACTCTGATCACCAGCCGATAACGGTGTGGGTGGAGGGGGGAGGGTATAGGGAGGTGAGGCCCAGGAAGGGAATGGCGAGAGGAAGGAGAGGGGTGTGGACGAAGGAGGGAAGGAGTAAGTTTGAGGAATATGTAGGAAAGAGGGACGACGAGGGTGAAGGGGTGGAAGAGGGATGGAAGAAGCTGAAGAGGAGGGTGGAAATTGCCTTAGAGAGAGTAGAGAGAGAAGAAAAAGAGGAGAAGAGAGGATGGTGGGATAAGGAGTGTAGGGAGATGAAAAGAGATGTTGAGGAAGAGTTAAAAAGGTGGAGGGAGAGAGGAGGAGAGGGCGAGAAATTTAAGGAGAAGAGAAAAGGGTATAGGGTGCTGTGTAAGGAGAAAAAGAGAAGGGAGAAAGAAAGGTGGGAAAGAGAAGTGGAAGGAGTGAGGTCAGAAAGAGATGTTTGGAGGGTGGTAAATAAAGGAAGGAAAAAGAGAAAAAGAATAAGGGAAGGGATTGAAATGAGTGAATGGGAAAGGCACTTTAGAGGAGTACTGGGAGGGGTAGAGTGGAGGGTGAGAGGGGATGTGAGGAGTAGAGGGGAGGAGAAGGAGGAAGGGATAAGCAGGGAGGAAATTGGGAGGGCGATAAGGAAGCTAAAGGAGGGAAAAGCGGCGGGAGGGGATGGGATAGTAAACGAAGTGTGGAAATATGGTGGAAAAGAAATCAGGGAATGGCTGTGGGAGATCGGTAATAAAGTTTGGAAAGGGGAGGGATGGCCGGAGGAGTGGAGGGAGGGTATTGTAGTACCGATAGTGAAAAAGGGGGAGGGTGAGAAGGTGGAGGAGTATAGGGGGATCACTTTGACGCAAACGGCGTACAAAGTGTATGCCATGGTTCTGGCTGAGAGGTTGAGTGAGGAGGTGGAGAGGAAGGGATTGCTACCACCGAGTCAAACAGGTTTTAGGAGAGGGGTAGGGACGATAGACCAGATATATGTTTTAAATTATTTAATTAATAAGAGAGTGGCGGAGAGGAAAGGCAAGATGGTGGTGATGTTTATAGACATGAAGGCAGCGTTTGACTCGGTGGATAGGGAGATCCTGGTACGGGCGATGAGGAAGAGGGGTGTTAGGGAGAGTTTGGTTGTGAGGTGTGAAGAGGTGTTGGAAGAGACAAGGAGTAGAGTGAGGGTGGGGGATAAGGTGGGGGGAAGCTTCTGGACGGGGAGGGGGGTTAGACAGGGGTGTCCGCTGAGTCCGAGTCTGTTCACCTTGTTGTTGGCGGATTTGGACGAGGAGCTCGAAAAAGAAGGATGGGGGGGAGTGAAAGTTAAAGGGAGAAAGATATTCTCGCTGGCATATGCGGATGATGTGGCGGTTGTGGCGGAGGAGGAAGTAGGGATGCAAGGAATGATAAAGACTTTGGAAAAGTATATAGAACAGAAGGGACTGGAGGTGAATATAGAAAAGACCAAAGTTATGAGGTGTAGAAAGGGGGGTGGGAGGCAGAGGAAGATG